AAACGGTATCCCAAATTGGGGTATTTATAAAACAGAAAAACCTAGATTTCGCCCCCCCCCCCCCCCCCCCGGCTGTCATCTTAGTCTGTTTTGCACAGGTCTGCCTCTCAGAAGCTATTTGGGTTTGCTCATCTAGAGATCTAATTCTGTAAGGCTATGGAATTTGAACTGTGTTACAAAGGAACTAAACTGGTCTATCATAGACAAGCTGATGACATGCAACTATGTGATTTTTGAGACTGCCTCATTCAGTCCAAAAATATTAATCAGAATTTAAAGGAATGGTGTGTACAAAACAAACTTTTTGCCTTCCTTGTAGAACTTCCTGCTCTCAGACTGCTTCTATTCCTTTTATGATCTGCGCAAAGAATTTCACACTTGCTACCCTAGTTCAGCCGCCGTGAAAGATCAGACTATCAAGACCATGGCAGAATGTATCCTTTTGCTGCAGCTTTTACATCAGAATCAATTATGTTTTTTTAGGTTTTGTCTCTGTGATTGTTACAGGTTATAGTTTCCTAAACTAAGACGTGGGTTTTAAAAACTCACAGGTAAAATGGAACGAATATTTGCTTAAATGTATGTTGGGGGTGCAGCTCTGCTTGTAAATTTTTTTTTTTTTCAATTTGAGTCTAACAATGAGTTCTAAACCATATTTAGTAAATCCATTAGAGAAAAACATCGCTTGCATTGATACGAAAGGATAGGCTTAGCTATCAGTGGGCCTTTTCAGCACCAGTTGGCCTGCAAGCATCTACTGTTTGCAGATAGTAACAGCTCTTTTGTGTGATCCTGACTGAACTGAGTTTAAAACAAAAACTAATTAAGAAAAACAAACAAACAAACAAAAACAACAACAAAAAAACCCAACACCCGACATCTACCTTTTAGGAGCATTTCTGTGGCCCAGCTGAATGTAGTTAAAGTTCAGTTATGTTTGAAGTGATAGGAACTTATTCTGCTTTTTTTTTTTTAAGCTGTTAAGACTGAAATGAAGTAAGCTATCAATAGTTTTCAGACTGTTGACTGTTATAGTGAATATTAACCAGTTTATGAGCAGAGTAACAAATGTCTAATGGCCATGTGTCCCTTCTAAGACCAGTAAATTTGATTACCAGTTCTGTGTTAATATCAGAAAAGCCTTATGACTTGTTTACAAATGATTGTGCAAGTCTGTTATTTTCTATAATCGCCTGTTTAGATCTAGGCTTAGGGACAGATGAAACAGAGGAGGACTTTGGCGTGTGGCAAGTGAAAACCATGGTGGCTATCATTTTCAGCATGCTCTCTGAAAGTTGTAGTAAGTGACCTATTTATACAGAATCCTGAAATCTTTCTCTTTCTGTAGGAATTGGCAGTGGTACTGTCATCCTTAAGTAATCTCTGACCCTGGTTATATTTAAACTTCCTGTTTTGTTGCAGATCACATATTTACTGAGCCTGAAACTGTGAAATACAAGTACGAAACAGGTCCTTGGTAAGTGCCCTTGTCACGGTTGTTTACAACCAAAGATGAGCCTTGCCTACAGCAAGGAAAGCTTGTGAATATTTCCCCGTGGTCACTGAAAGTAGGTTGGTTCCTGAGAAGAGTAACAGTGTATTCAGCAGTCTAGTGTAGACAGGCTATAGCTGGTATGTTGAATGCTGTATTTCGGTCTGTCTCTTTAAAGTCACTGCAAGTTAAATGCTCTTTGTTCTCTAGCTTCTGTTTTGCATGGCAGCGAGGCTGACTTATCTCACCCAGTGGTGAAGAAATATTTGTGAACTTTCCCTAAGTCAACAGGGGTAATGGCTAGCGTACCCTATATGCAGCTGAACTACATGGTGCTTCTGAAGAGTGGTCTAATATGCTGTGCTGTATGTTGGGTTTAGGGAGAGAAGAAACAGAATGGTTCTTTGTTTTCAAATACATTGCAGTGACTGGAGAATGAAACATCTTAAGCATAAGTAATATGTACGCGTATTTAGGACTACCTTGTAACCATCTATGTTGGATTGTTAGATCTTTCAAATAAAATTAATTCAGTTCCTTATTACTTCACTTGGAGACAGACAGTCTTCCTAATTTTTTTAAGGAATTGCAATGTGGTGACAACATAGTGCATCTTAGGCATTGTGTATATAAAAGAATTATCCCAGTTATTTTTCCTTTCTTTATTGAAATAAGTAACGGAATTAGAAGAGTCACAACAGCAAATATACTCCTGATTTACAAGTCAAATTAGTTGCAAACTGAAATTTGGTAAGATAATGGAAAACCTAGATTAAAGCTTACTTTGGCTTCTTTTGTTTTGTTTTTTCTTTTCCTTTCCATGCAGTAGTAAATCTGAAACAGTGGACAGTGAGACAGTAATACGTGCCAGAGGTTTGCCATGGCAGTCTTCAGACCAAGATATTGCTCGATTTTTCAAAGGACTCAACATTGCCAAGTAAGATAATAAGCCTTAGGCGTGCAAGGAAAAGTTTTTAAGTGTGTGAAGAAGAAAAGAGACTTATCCATTGAAAACCAACATACGTTCATTTATTGCTAGTACCTAGAGGGAGAAACTCGTACTACATTAATCAAGGCAGAGTCCAAGATATGATAGAAGCTTTAATTTTGTACCAGCTCTTCAATATTCTGCTATACTTCCTAAACAGGCCAAATTCAGGAACCTCCAAATGACTGATGTGTGTACACCTCTGTGAATATATGGGTCTATTTATATAGAGAGTGAGTTTAATTTAGCATACATGTCACTTAATATATATTCCAGATTCTCAACACAGAGGTTTGGGTTTTTTTTTTTAATTTAGAGGTATCAGGAAATTCAAATCTGCATCTCTGAGATGATAGGAAGGGCTTGCAAATTTAAGTCTGCATGGAAGTTGAGAAAGTGGTGAACAGCATGAGATCCAAGATCTTGCTGAAGCAGATTATGCAGTATAATTGTTACATTAAAAATGAAATTAAATTGTGGATAGTAGCAATTTCTTTTTCCGTCTGTAAACTCCATGTTAAAGTCTGATTTCTCTACTAGTCTTACACAGTTTTTTATTAAATGTATTAAAGATTAAAACTAAGTTTATTTTTGTTGGTTTTACCTTCCAGAGGTGGTGTGGCTCTTTGTCTGAATGCTCAAGGAAGAAGAAATGGGGAGGCATTAGTTCGGTTTGTCAATTCTGAACAGAGAGATCTCGCGCTGGAAAGACATAAGCATCACATGGGTAGCAGATATATTGAGGTAAAAAGTAGTGACTTGAAACAAATCTTTGGAAAGCAATCTTAATATTTTAGACTACAGTTTTATATGAGAACAAACTGCACTTCGTTGTGCTCAAAGTACCAAAATACAATTCTCTCACATGTGGAAGAGTGTGTGTGTTTTAGAGTTGAATATTGTCATTTTCACATGTGGCTCTTTTTTCTTTTTCTCTTTAAGGTTTACAAAGCAACTGGGGAAGAATTCTTAAAAATTGCAGGAGGTAAGTGATGCTGGAGTGCAGTGTAATTACTGAAGTTCATAGGAGTGTTGTTCTGATTCTTTCTCTTTTTTTTTTTGTTTTTTTTTTTTTCTCTTGGCTGAGGAGACAAATGGATAATGAAGTAGCTTTTCCTGTCTTGCCTGTCAAGAATACTTGACCCTGTCAAGTTCTGGTTTCACATGGTTGAATTTGAGCTGTGAGCATTTGGGCTGTGATGTTCACAAACAGGTCTTGCTGTTTGGGAGGAAGATGAACATTTGCAGTGGAAGCATCTGTGTACCTTGTATAAGTTCACACTAATCTCATCTTTATTCCCATTTAATTGAAATATGAAACACTTTCAGGGTAAGGGAATTTCACTTCAGAATAGATTACTGGGTGTTAGTAGTGTCTTGGGTCTTCTGTGGGTTTGTTGCTAGCTACTTATCTCCTATATTGCTCCTTACTGGTTTGCCGCTCCTGCATCCTATGGAATTGACTGACCAGCATGACCATATGGTGTTGGCTGACCACGTGTTGTTATCTTTCTATCAGGCACCTCCAATGAAGTGGCCCAGTTCTTATCTAAGGAGAATCAAGTTATCATCCGGATGAGAGGCCTTCCATTCACTGCTACTCAGGAGGATGTCTTGGGGTTTCTGGGGCCAGAGTGCCCAGTCACAGGTCACAGGACGGAAAGAGGGACTTCTCTTTGTCAAGTACCCAGATGGCAGGCCCACAGGAGATGCATTTGTGTTATTTTCCTGTGAAGAATATGCACAGAATGCACTTAAAAAGCACAAAGAAATACTTGGAAAACGTTACATTGAACTCTTCAGGAGCACAGCAGCAGAAGTCCAACAGGTTGTAACTATTGGCTGTGAGATCGAAACTTAACGGTTAAAACATTTCTTCTAACACTTGCACAAAAATATGTTGCAGACAACCATGAAAGTCTATTATATTAAAGATGTCAAGTTTCAGAAAGGGCAATATGTGCTTCCTGATTGGCATGGAAAATTGCACTGCATTGTTTTGTTTTTTACTGCCACTGTTGGTTTTTTTTAATGTCCCTCAGATTGTAAAGTAAAAATGATTGAATAATTTTCCTCTACTTAAAGGTTGACAGAAATCACAAAAATAACTTCAAAAATGTACTATAGATTGATAGTATTGTAGTAATGCTTCTTGAAAATCTGCAGTATTGTCTTTAAATTCTGGTCTCCATGTACAGAATTTCTAACATTAAATCCAAATCTGGATGTATTAAAACAGCTTTTCCCAAAACTGCTTTGTTGGAAACCAAGAATTATCAGGATGTATCTGATTTTTGGTGAAATGGAGTGAAGTATTTGTTTTCCTAAGATAATATATTTCACTTTTTTTCACTATCCTTCACCAGTTCCTATTATCACCTTCTTAAACTGGTAACACCATTTTATTTTGGCACCAGCAAAATAAATATAAAATAATTATTTTTTCACCAGCCTGTGAAAAACATAATATATTGTGTTTTTCTGCCTGACACAAAATATTTCTAGACTGATAATGCCAAAGGGAACCATTATAAGATTTGATCTGGTCTTTGAGCGACCGCTGGCTATAAAAACTTATTACAGTTACTGTTTCAACCTATGTGACATGAGAAGTCTTTTCCATAGAAGTGATGGGGCAAGTGAAAGAATATCCACACTCGTAGACCTGCCATTTACCCTTAGTACTGTGATATGGAGATTAGAACAGCCAAGAATCTGATAGACGTATTGGTTTCCCCCCCCCCCCCCCTTCCTTTTCAGTTCTGCTCCTTAGAGAGAATGAAGCTAAGTCCTCTAAGGAACAAAACCACTCTATCACAGTGACCAAGACTTTGCTCTCATTTTTGTTAGGGAGACGTGGATAAAAGTTGTATAACTTATATTCTGTCAATATGTCATTAATTCTTCCTCTATGACAGCTGTCTAGGGTGACACCCTAATTTTTTTGCTGCTTGAGCAAGAGTTTATTTTTTAGGGAATTACAGCTCCTTGTTTGAGCAATTATAAGAGGTAAAGCCAGCTCTCATTCACTTAGTGTTAAGACAGAGTAATTGCAATATTCTATACACAACTGAGGGAGATGATTTCTGACCTGAAAGGTGCTACAAGTAGTTTCTTGAAAAAAGGCTTCTATTGAGACAAACTCCCTAGGCTGAATCATTATTGGCAAAACTAAAGCTTTGTAACCTCTTTTGCTACCTCTTTCAGTGGAATGTGCGTGTTTATTTCTGAAAGTCATTGCTAAATGTGTTTTTTCAGCAGTAGGCCCCAATGGCAAGTTATGTTCCTTTTGTCATTTGAGTCAAGAGAAAATAAAACATTGAGATCAAGGCCTCCTATAGTTCTTATCCCTTTTTTTGCACCACCACCCCACCCCCCCCAATCTGTACTTGGAGATGAGCACTCAGGTTAAAAACACACCCTCACTTAACCAATCAGGTTTTATGAAGGAATTAGAGCTAGTGTTTTTACTTATTAGTTATTTCAGGTCTCAGTTCTTTTAAAATGACTGTCTTTAATTTACCCTAATTTAAGTAGCAACTGTATGTGGCAATACTGGTTTATTGGCACAAATGTGGTTTTCAAATGTTCCTTTTTGGGATATTCTAAAATGAACTGTAATCTGCTTTTAACTTTTTTTTTTTATAATGTCTGTTATTAGAGTCTAGCAAATTAAATTTGTAAGACTTCCTCTCTCCCTTCTGAGTTTGAAACTTTCAAATGCCCAACAGGAAACTATCTGCAATAATTTGGTTTAAGGAGGTTTTTTTCCTCTGATGTTGGAAGTGGATTTATTTAAATGTGTGAAATAGTATTGTGAGAATTGATTTGTGCTTAACCAGATGATGTGTAAATCTCTATCAATGTGCTTTTTTTACCAACAGGTACTTAACCGATATATGTCAACGCCTCTTATCCCCACTCTCCCAACTCCCATCATTCCTGTCATACCCCCACCATATACCATTGCCACGGGTAGCGTACGTGACTGTGTCCGGCTTAGAGGCCTTCCTTACACTGCTGGCATTGATGACATCCTGGAATTTATGGGAGATGCCACAGCTGATATCAAGCCCCATGGAGTTCACATGGTCCTCAATCAACAGGTAACAGCATTTTGCACGGGAGGGCCAACTTTCCAGTTATTGAACACGGTTAGAAGTCAGGGTAGCTTACTGTTCTTGCCTGTGCTTTAGGTCTGCTATAACCTTGAGAAAATACTATGTTCTGTTTGCCTGTCTTTTTGTTCCTTCCTTTTCCTCATTTCACCTCCCCTTTTACATATACACTTGCTTTTCTTTCTATATATGTATGCAAAAGACTGGGGAGGATGAAGCTTGTTCTTTTAATGATAGCTTTATCCTAGAGGCTGTCTTAAATAGGCCCTTGTGTTTCAGTCAAGTGCTGGAAATACACAAGACAGAAATGTCTCATGTTAGATGGCATAGCTGTCAGCTTCAGGGTTTGTACTCAATGGTAGCTGTGTTGTTTGAGTGTTATTTGTGGAAAAAAAAAAAGGTTTTCCTAACTTCTAGCTTGATTAGAGACTTCTCAGGGTTTAAAGGAAGTTGATAATTAAAAATTGTGTTTTGGATATATTTTAATGACATAATCACAGGGATATTTTTTTCCTTATTGTCTTGTGTTAAAAATAAACTCTATTAGTCACAGAAGTATTGATGTATTAAAGAAAACAAATGAGAGAGATCTACCGTATTTGTTCCGCTTTTCTGTTAAGAAAGTTTTTAATATTTTATACATACAGCAATGTCTGTCAGGTTGCAGAAAATCAGATCTGGAAATCCATTTCTAATGTAGCTATGGACTTTACTAAAGCGTGTCTGGAGCTTTTTACTGTTGTCCTGTTACCTAAAAGGTAGTTACAGGGAAGGCAAAGCCAGACTCTTCCTAGACCTTCACAGCAAAAGAATAAGAGACAGTGTTAATAAACTGCATCAAGGAAAATTGCAATTGGGTGAAAAGGGAAAAAAAAATCACAATGAGAAATTAGTTAAGCACCCCAACAGGTTCCCAGAAATGTTGCGGAATCTCCACCCCTGGAGATGCTCAGAATTCAAGTGGAGAAGGCCATTAATGGCCTGATGTAACTTGGAAGTTAGCCCTGCTTTGAACAGTGTTTAGATTAGAGGCCTTCAAACTTTGTTTCCATGTTAAATTATTCTCTCTTTCTTTCTGCGGAGGATGGAAGTAGTGTTGTGTTAACTGGGCGCTGGTTACCTGAGTCTTACCTTTCTGCTCCTAAAAATAATTATTGAGTTACTAGTCATTGGTGCCAGATGAGGAAGAACAACACAGACTTTCAGTAGACATTTGATCTTAGTAGTTTCTGCATTTCTTGTGCTCTGCGTGTTTTAATAACAGATTCACTTACGATTATTTCTCCCCTCCCCCAGGGACGACCATCAGGTGATGCTTTTATCCAAATGAAATCTGCTGACAAAGCCTTTATGGTGGCTCAAAAATGTCACAAAAAAATGATGAAGGACCGTTATGTGGAAGTATTCCAGTGTTCAGGAGAGGAGATGAACTTTGTTTTAATGGGTGGCACTTTAAATCGTAGTGGCTTATCCCCGCCGCCATGTAAGTTACCATGTAAGTCTGCAATTCTTCTGCTCTCTGCTGCTAAAGGCTGATATGTGGTAGGTGCTGAAGCTTTGTGGCCTTTCACCTTTTGACTTGGGTTTTGCCATGATCAATAATCATCCATCTGTATACATGCTGAGATTGGAATTGTTCCCTTTGGGCAATAATGGGACTGATCAGAGGCATTTTTATTGTATCTTCGGTGGTGAGTAGAGGGCAGCAAGGCCTTGCCAGTGAAATTGTTGCACACTTTGCTTTTTATGGGTGTACTGTTCTTCTGAGCTCTGCAATAGACTTGCCTGTAGTGAAACCTACTTGGAATTAGAAAGATTTTTAAAAGGGGGAGAAATTCTATATGCTAGCTGCCGATGAGTGCTCTTGCTATCTTGGCTTAGAAGATAGAATTGAGAAGGTACTCTTTGGGCTTATTTTTGAAGAAAAACACCCACTGGGATGATATGCTAACAAACCATAGAGTGGTGAAGTTGGATGGATTTTTATCTTTTTATTTTATTTAATATTACAGTGGACATTATTGTGGAAACATAATGGAACTTTACTGTACCATTCTAATCAGTCTCGCTGCCAAATCACTAAGCAGATGCCGATATGTATTTGCAAAATAGTAAAAAGCTGCCAAATACAGTATTTAAAAACAGTTTGACTGCACACTAAGCCAAGCTTTGTTCCTATACAAATCGGATATTTGTTCATCAAAATGCATCAGACTAGTGCTCTAGTGAGGCTTTCTTTTTGCTATATCCTAAAAATACTTTTTGAAGTTGCAGGAGGCTTATACAAGAAGACTCATGGTCAGCAGTTGTGGATGCCCATGTGTAGTTAATATTATGGTACCTTTGTCCCACAGAGTACAACTTCTGTTAGAACAGAAGGTGTGTTGGTGTGTACGCCTGCTTTCTCTATGCACATGGCTTTATGCTTTCTTTGAATAACTCTGAAGTTCCCTACTTTCCATTTGCATATGGACAAGGCTGCTCAGCTCTAGAAGTTGTGAACTGTTAGAAATTGCTCACTTCGAATGCCCCAGCTGTCATTTATGGTGATGTAGCAGGGGTCTCCAGGAGAGAGGCTAGAGAGCAGTCTTTGCACAAGTGTTCATTAATCATGCCCAGATGGTATTAATCACATTGGGGTGAATAATTCCTTTCCTATAGCAGAGATCTCCATTCTGATTGTTTTTTGTTGCTGTGTCCTGCTTTGTTTTTAGGTCTTTCTCCACCAGCTTATGCTGCTTTCCAAACAGCAGCTGTGATCCCAGCAGAGGCAGCGCTTTACCAGCCACAAGCCCTCTTGCCAACCACCAGGACTCCCCAGGCCTCTGCGGCTGCTCCTCCAACTGTTACCTACTACCCAGCTCAGGCTGCTCAGCTTTATATGAATTACACAGCTTACTATCCCAGGTAACCCCTAGACTTAGCTGCTTCTCTTGACATGTCATCTCAGTGGAGCAGGCAACTGTGTGGTCACCTGTGAACAGGTCTTAAATTTGAACTTCTGGTGTAGATAATCCTGGGGACTTGATGTTCATCAGCAGAGGCAGTAGCCATTTTAACTGATTCTCTATGGCCTTGTAATGAAGTTCGGCTTTTCTGTAGGTTTTGTTTGAATCTCGTGATAATGTTGGTCTAATATTTAACAGTGTTTTTGGCACTGGGGCAATGTCATCAAGGCAGTTCTATTTCTTGGCCAAACAGGAAGCTGTGTCAATACATGCCTCTACCCTTATCCCCTAGTTTGTTCTTGTACTTACGATACTGTTTCCATACTGAAGGACTCATCATAGGTGTGTACTAGGTTTGATTTCTTATATCAGTGAGACCCCAAAACACTTTACATGTGTAAGCAAAGCAGATCATCACCTTTTCCCTTCCCACGGATGGTACCAACATGGCTCACTGAAGTCTGTACTTGGGTCCATGGGGAAATAGCTTGTTCATTGATAGTTCCTAGGCTTGTGACACTTACTAGCTTGCGTATCTGGTAAATTGCTGGATGGGCCCTGAGCAGAGATACTACTTTACTCATTGTTTTGTGGCTCAGAAGTACCAGATTTGGGCCCTTGCCTGCTTTTCATACTATGATTCCACCCCCCACCCCACCCCGCTTTTTTCTTTATGGTTTTATTAACAATCTTAGAACTATTTTTTTCCTCACCTGTGAAATAACAAGTGCCACTCTTTGTCTTCAACTACAAACGTTAGCTATTTTCCTTTCTGTCCCTTCTCTAAAAATAAATTATCCGATGCTAAAGAGAAATGAAGAAAGTCCATAAAGCAGTCCACATCAGGGCTTCCTGTTTTTCTGTGGGTTTTGGGCTTACTCTCAAATTCAGATTTCCAGTTTCATCTTTGCCTATTCCAAGTAGTAAAACCAGTTATTGGTTTTCATAACAATTTTGCCCTTCTTTCTCTTTTTCAGTCCTCCAGTATCCCCTACCACGGTGGGGTATATTGCAGCTCCTCCAGGAGCTGTAGCCGCTGCTGCCAGTGCCACCCACACTCCAATTCTGCCCCAGCCTGGAGCATTAGTCCGTATGCAGGGCTTGCCATATAACACAGGAATGAAGGAGATACTCAGTTTCTTCCAGGGGTACCAGGTTAGTATGCAGTCCTTCTTGATACGGTATTTGGACCTCTGAGCAATGATCAGTGGGGATCAAACTGAGCAAGTGAGTGCTTTTGGAAATCGCTGAACAAGTGTGCAAGCTCAATGTTGTATATTTAACTGGCAGACTGAAGTGTAATACACGCTTTGCCTTATTTCTTACATAATAAACATATCCTACTTTGAAAGCAGTGATTCAGTGTCTAGGGTCAGGGTTTGAGTTTGGAGAGGGAGAAAGCGCAGAGCCCCAACGTGAGTGGGGCTGCGAAGGGGCTGCCAGAGGAAGGTGGGGGCTGCCAAAAGCTTCCGGTCCTGGCCACTTTTTGGTGGGAGCCCTAGGTAGGGTCAGTGTTTGACCTTCAAGACGTGTTAAAGTCTGCTGAGAGCAAATTTATAGTACAAAAGGCTGTGACCTAGGTGTGGTGACTTGCTTGCAAAAGGAGAGAGATAGACGCTTCTGTTAGATATTCTTTCAGGCACTAATTATTTTGGGTACAGGCACGAACATTTTCCATTAAAACTGCATTACATTGCAACCTAAGGGAAAACTGTATTCTCCAAACCATTTTGTACTGATAGCAAATATTCTATGTGCTATAGGTAACTTCAATCAGTATGTACTGATTTAATGCTCTGTCAGTGAGCAAACACATAGAAACTTATCTTCTTGAGGAACATTAAAAAAAAAAAGGCGCCATGTACAAATGTGTTTTTCCAGCAGCACTTATTTGAATTCACGGAATGGGTCTTTCCATGTCTTCTGCCTTTCATCTCAGAGGACATTGTATCTTATATCTATGTTTTGTCATCACATGTTTGCTAAAAGGAAAGATAATTGAATATGGTATATTCTGTTGAGTATTTAACTTCTGTGGATAACAGCACTTACACAAATGCCCAATCTGCCCTTTTGGTACTATTCAGAAGCCCTGACTTAAAATCCTCCTGGTGGGTCTCAAATTACTGTTCAAGTGATGTGTGAAAAGACAACAATTTTTGCATGTTTGTCCTTTAAAATTCTGCAAGTTGGATAACAGTGATACTGCTAAAGGTTAGGATGTGGATGGATTCTTTTCAATGCATAGCAGCAGTTAATACGAAACATTCAGGCATGGTATGTTTTGTTTGGTTTTTTTTCCCCCTTTTTTTTTTTTTTCCTTTAAGATTCTTAAAAGGCAATGGGCTTTAATTTGCAGAGCCAGATGTCTGCTATGTAAATGAAAGTAGACTGAGAACAGATGCTTAAATGTGTATGTTCCAAGTTTTGAGTATGTGGAAGATACGGTGCTCTACCTGTTGTGGCTTCTTTTCAAATGTTACATTTATGTTTGAAAGTAGTTTCACATACTTGGTTTTTCAGTGGAAAAATTGGAAGGTTAGCTTATAAAAAGTGTGATGAATTTTGAGAAACATTAAAAAGAAACTAAACGTCATTGTATTTTACGGCTTTTCCTTCAACAGGTATTTCCAGAGTTCAAACCACATTCAATTACTTATTGCTTTCCAGACAAACAGTAGTATTCATTCATCTGTTGCTTAGCCATTGATATTTTACCTTATGTTTTTTTCAACTGACTGGGGTTTTTGGTGGATGGATGGTGGGTGTATTAAAACCTTAAGTGGGGAAGCCTATTTTCTAAATTGAAATTCAGCTAGAAGTGCACCATTGAAAAATGTGACCTGAACCTGTCTGTGAATGGAACAGGTCAGTGACAATCTCTAGTAGCTCTGTCTTCTACTAAATCTTCAGTTTAGTGAATCTGGACTTTGGATCTGGTGCTGAATTTGCCCTTTTTCTTGTTTCTGCATTTGGAGAGTTTCGGTTCATCGTGTTTGTATTGCACAATTAAATGTTTCAAATGAATAGAAATTTTGCCACAAGGTGAAAACTATATGCTGCTTCTGCAACCTCCTGTCATCATCAGTTACTGTTGTTAAACTGGTCACCTCTTTGATTTCTTTAGAAGATGTTGTCCAAATGAGATCGGGTTCAATATCTTATAAAGGAGCCAAGGAATTATTTTGAATTGTTCTTGGAATCCCACATGTGGTAATGCTAGTTTTATACTCGCTCATTCCTTTAGGGGAAAAAAGAGGTGGTGACTTACTGTATTGGGACAAGATTATGTCTCTGGAGCAATTACTAATCTTTTTTCTTTTTTCCTCCCCTTTCCTCTCTCCTCACATTATTTTTTTCATTTTCTGCTGCTGCCCAAGGATTTATTGCACGATGCTTCTGCTCGTTTATAAAGTGAGCCCCTAATAATCGTCAGTGGGCATGGTTTTAATCTTTGTATAAGTAATTGATGTTGGTATTCAATGGGCTTCAATGTTGGTATTCTGGGAACCAGATCGGAGATGCTGAGATTGAAGGGTGATTTTTGTCTTTGTATGTCCTTGTCTGAAAGGAACAGGTTTTAAGTTTTAGATCTTGCTTTATTCTCTTCTGTTTTCTTCCTTCAGTCTTCATGGGCTCTATATATTGCATGTATGCACATGTTGCTACTTAAGTGAAAGAACCTTTCATACCAGACCTGCCTCTTAAGAGATAGACTTTGCTTATCATGAGATTCAACAAGCTGGTCTCAACATCAGTACATGCTTCTAATAACGAATAATGTAAAAATCTGCAGATCAGCATTTTAATTTTCAGTTAATTTTATCAGCACTAGCCTCTTGTTTAG